TGATACTATGCAGTCAGGGGTGCGCATGTTACACACACCTACCTGTAAGCTGCGAGGAGGCAGCAGTGCTTTTCTGTAAGTGGGTTCTATAGTGTAAAACCTAATGACTTTGCTACAGAATTAATGTAGAGAAGCGTAACAAAACAACTGTAAGGAACAGGAAACCACTTACATCGTCTGGACGCAGAATGCAGAAATTGCTTCACTTTCACAGATTTTCATTACTTGCTCGAGTCTGCCTTGTCTTTTTCTATTTCTGTCTGTGGTCCTTTATCTTTCTGTCTCCTTTTGTAAAATTTTTCATCTCCTGAGGCAAGAGAGGCTTCCCTGAAGCTGCTGCCACCAGGAAAAATGTGTCCTGTCTCTTCACCGCCTCCTTAAGTGGCAGCAGAAAATATCTTTTTCTCCCTTATTTTCTCTCCCTCTTTGCTCTATGTTTTCCTTTGCTGTAACCAAGGAGTGTACCTTACACCATATTGTAGGGGATGTTTGGGTGCAAGACATTCTGACAAAATGAAGCTGATGACGAAGCTTGGAGGAGGATGCTGCTAACAATCCCCACACCCCCTAGCCCCCACCTCATTTTGGAGGGAGGTTGAACTGTAGCTGGTAGTGAGAAGTGGAGAGCCATGCCTTGCAACATTTGCAAACCACGTGTAGAGCAGCTGTCCGCCATGGCGTGTGCTTGGCCTGGGTTTGGCTTCTGTTGGGTGGTAGCACTGAACAAAAGTCGGTTTGCTCCTTAGTGTGAGGTGGTGCCCACAAGCACAATTCAAGGACTATATTTCCTTGGAATAAGCGCCGTGTTTGTCAGCAATCATGTACTCTTCTGTTTCTTCCCCCCCCCCCCCCCTTTCTTGCCAATTGCAGGTACTACATGAGCCCCTGATTGATGAGGATCCCGTTTTCATTGCTACGTGCACGGAGAGGGAGCTGCGCAAGAGGAAAAAGAGGAAATTCAGTCTCTGGGTTCGGCAGTGCTCATCCACTGGTTTCATCTGCCAGGTGGGTTTTGCCTCTTCAGGTATCTTGATGCAGTTCCAGCAGCCCCTTAAACGTATTGCAGGAACGAAGGTAACGGTCAGTTCTCTTTTATTGCTGTGACGGGGGCTGCAGGCTTTGCAGAGCCAGCCTCTGACTCCTGCAGATTTTAGATCCAAAGGACGATGAGGACAAGTTCCTGATGCTCTGTTTGCTGTATGATCTCTCTGAGGGTGCCTGTCTCTGATACTGTCCATCTGTCTGCCAATCTTAAGCTAATTAAATTGAAATGGAGTTAAAAGGTCTGTTTGTTTGTAGATCCTGAGTTTATCTAAATGTCTGGGTACTGTGACTTCTGTCATTTTTAATGAGTCAGCTTCTTTGTAAGCATAACACTGCATCTGTGGTAGCCAGCAGTGTCCAATAGACTAAATCAATATGGTATGAAGATCTCCATTTTTCTGTGAGAAACATATTAGCAGGGTTTCCTATTTCATCTCTTTTCACACCTCTACTTCTCTACCAAATAAATAAAATCTGATGTGACTTCAAGGTGAGATATGAGCTTGAGTGGGAGACGTGCTAAAGGGTTTGTTTTTAGTGTTATAAAGCATTGGGGACAACTCTTCAAATTCTTAGATTCCACAATTGCTGATGTATTTTTGAGAGCTCTTGAAAAATCTGACTGTTTATTTTGATGCCTAGAGGTGAGGGGGCAGATATTTTCTGATAGGTCTTTTTCTCAAGAGCTTCTGTGAAAACGTGGCATCCTGCATGTTCCAGTGGCTCAGAGATGGAGGAAGGACGTGCACACTGGCTACTCAGGCTGAGTGCGTGTCAGAACTGCAGGGCCTGCGGATTTGCTGCGGTTGAACTTTCGTTCACAGTAAAATCTGATCAGTGAATCAGTACGACTGTTTGAGTAGCTATGCAAGGAAAGAGGCTTGCTGGGAACAGGGGTTTGCATTTTCAGCAATGCTGTTCACTCTGAAAAGAAAATTGGGTTCATACATCTTCCATCCAGGTTTTAAAGCCGTTGTTTTGTCCAGTACAAAATAGATTCACCTTGTGAAGCATCCTTGGAAGTTTTCATTCTCAAGGCTTTTGGAAAGTCATTTGCCACACAGAGGCAGTGTCCTTAATCTCCAAGGTGAACTCCACCAGCCCCACATACAGCTTATTACTGAAGCGTAGAGGGTACAGCTAGCACAGAGTTTGCTGATCTCTCTTGCCGTGCTCCCCCCAGCCAACTGCCACCAAACTAGTAAGTGTTCAGACGTGAGTTTCAGATTCTTCAGCCAGAGGTTTAGATTCTGAGCTATAATTATGTTGCACCATCGAGAGAGTAAATTAATGGAATGTCAAATGAAACAGAATAGATGCTCAGCACCAGCCTAATCCTCCTGCTCCCTTAATGAATTAGATATTCGTGCTTCACTTGCATCCGGATGACATCCAGGATTATCTTATCAGCTGCCTTCTATTTTCATTTCATGACTTGGCTGTAATTGTCATCATCCTAAAATGATTGGGTGAGAGGGACCTTAGGGAAGGGTGAAATATAATATACAGGAACATGACTGTTGATGCTAAAATGGGAAAACCTAGTGGGGGGAGGATGGGGAATCTTCAACTGTGGTATGTTTGAAATGTTACATTATGTGTCACACTTATGAGGGATCTTGCAGAATCCAATGCACTTATTCGGTGGTGGTTTGGTTTACTTACTATATTAAAAAAGACGGGGGTTTTTGTGTGTTTAACATATGGAGAGATCTAAACAAGAAGAAAATCCAGTGTTTCTCCCCTTCCTGTGCACATCTTCACCGCCATCTCTTGTGAAACTGCCGTCATGAAGTAAGAACTTAGTGCCTGATAGTTAAGGACTGACTGATCTATCACTTGTCTGCTGTCAGAAAAACCTTACAGCACCCACTTGGAAATATGCAGATATTCTGTAATACTGTCTGGATGAATTCTCTCCCTCATTGTTTCTACATGATGACATCAAGGTCATTTTTGTTCAGGATAAAATATGACTATAAACACTTCATAAACCAGGCTAATTCAGTTTTAAAAGTCTGAGTAATATATAGCTATAAAAAGGTGTGACAGCCAGGGAAGAAGAGGGAAGTGAGGTACATGACTGGCTCTCAGGAATGTAAGGAACCACATGAGGTCTGTGATCCTCCTGACCAAAACCAAGGTCCTCTAAACTTGAATGATGAGCCTAATGTTAAAAACAGTATCTCCGTTTTTTTTTTTAGGGAAAGAAAGATCTGCTTGTTCTACAGTGAAAAGAGTTTGGTGGTTTGTTTTCCTGCTGTAAAACTGATATCAGTGTTTTGAAGCCACATGCTGAGCTACTCTGTGAACAGCTTCTGGTTGGCAGTTCACAGGGCAGTTGTTGATGTTAGGAATATTAGCTGTTTGACTCCCCAGATTCCTCTGCCTGCTTGTTCTCATGAACAAAACTGAATCACTTCTTAGGGTATGAGTAAATACTTCTGTTTGAAAACTCACCATTTGCTTTTTTGTTTTTTAAGCAAATGTGTTTGGTTAAAAATCCAGCCCAATAAGCCATTCATGGAACAGAAGTGGCCTAAAAAACAAATACTGCGTGTGGACATAAGAAGGTGCATAGGCTTATATATGCATATTATAAATTATGTATATATATATTAGACTACTTTTCAGTCTTCTGTAATACAGATAACCTGATTCCACCCTGACAGTTAAGTTGCTGGTTTAAGATGGATGCACTATTTCAGATCACATCTCCGCTTCGGAATTTCTCAAGCAAAGCATCTTGTTGCCGTGAGTAGCTGCTTTGCTGAGTATCTTTTCATGGTCAGCTGGCCAAGTGGGAACAGGCAGGAAGGACAGATCATTCAAACAAAGTAAATATATGTCTACTGCAGCTGTAAACATGAACAAAATCTTTCAGAAGGCTAGAAGGACTGACTAGGGCGAAGTAGGCAGCAAAACTGCCCTGATACTGCTGCTTTTTTCACCCATTATTGATGCTGGACATTAAGGTGGCAACAGCTGCTGGTGCAGCAGAGGGCTCGGGGCCTTCTCATTTCTTTCTTCCTAATTCAGTGAGAGGAGGAGATTCAGGTTGCAGGACCTCAGGTGTCTTTCTCTGCTCCATCTTCTCTCTCCGTTCCTCATTTCCCTCCAATATATTGCCCTACGTGTGTGTTATCACTAAGACATTTTTCAAACCAGTATTTTAATATCTTGATTTCGGTTTAAGTGAACTCCTTAGAAGTGTTTGTTTCTTTCTTGGAGTATTTGCTGAGTCTTCTTATTTAAATCAAAGCTCTAGCCATGTCAGTTTTTGTTTCTCTCTTTCTCTCAAAAAGTCCGGACCACTTGCTTGTAAAAGATGTGCATAAGTGTGATTGGTAGGAATCTTTCATTTTAGATATAGCAATAGAGCTCATCACAAACTAGTGAGAGTTCCCAAATGCCTGATCAGGGCTAGTTATTTTTGTCCTGGTAGGACATCTCATGCTCTCCTTTTTTTGTCTCATCCTGGACCACAGGCCCATGGCACAAACATAACCTTAAACAGTCCCTGACCCAAAGAGCCATCAATCAACACAATAGAAGGCAGTATGTAGGTGGTAGAGAGCACTGCAAGGGATGGTCAGGCAGTATTAATCACTGTGATAGTAGGTAATGGAATTAGCTCATCAACATAATTATTCACTTAAAAAAACCTTGTGATGTCATGGTGGAGAAGAGGTGAATTTATGGTTGTGTATATCCTTTCCTATTCCTTGGGATGAAATGTGTTCTCTGAGGCTATTCTGGGCATTCTTCCCTTCCCACATCTCCTCCCCACCCCTAACTATAAGGGCTCTCTCTGCACTTGCTTTTATTCAGTGGCAGAAAGTTCTTGCAAAAATGCATTTCATTTTCACTAATATCCCTGTGAAATGTGTCGCTAAGATTTATGAAGTCCTTTAGATCCTTGTGCTGCGACTGAGTTTCAATTTCCACCTCCCACTGCTTACCCTGAAGAAGAACAGCTTAAGGAAAAGGACTGCGTCCCTGCAGCTTAAGTCTTCCCATGTCACTGAACGATTTGCACTGTAGCGGTATTCAAGGAGTGCAGCCTGGAGAGCGGGGTGGCCCCACCCTGAGAGGGTAAGAAATTTCTCTCTCCCTGAAGAGCAGGGGTCTCAGTGGAGTAAGGTGTCTGAGGTTGCTCCACAGATTAGTGCCAGTGCTGGGAAGAACCTCAGCTCACCTGACTTGGACAGCAGTGAGTTATCTGCTGCTTTCTGTTCCTTTTTCTGCTGCACTGTGCCTTCTTTTCTTACAGAATCTCTCACTTGCAGCAGAAAAAGAAAACAGTCTAAATATCGGGTTTTTTAATAGCAAATGCCGTAACTCATTCTCGGTTTCAAACAGCGTAGGTCCAGTCAGCTCAAATGCTTCAAACCCCTGCTGGTTTTACAGAGTAAGAACTTACTTCCAGGATTTAGGGAAACTGGTACTCTGAAGAATTCATAATTTCACAACCCACCACGTAAGTGCATTCAGTCACTGGGGAAAGGAGGAATAAATATACCCGGGGTGAGTTTTGTTTTCAAGGTCAGAGTTTCAGGAGAGTTAGCCATCTGTGCATTTGTTTAATAAAGCTGCTCAGAGAAGTTGGTGTTTCAGCCTGTTTAAGTTCTGTTTGGAGATTAGTCTGAGCCCTTGGGTTTCTTTGAGGAGTGCACTGATAATTTCTCCGTTGCTGGAACAGTTGCATCTGGAACGCACAGATGTAGCGACTGCTTTGAGGGGATTTGCAAGGTCAGGCTTTGGCTGGGAGGGGATCCCAGGAAACCTGATCGCCTTCAGTTGTTAGTCACTGGTGGCTGGAAAATCCTATCTGCCTTCTTCCTCTGGCTCCCACATGGCTCTGGCTTTTTAATGCATGCAGTTCTGTATTGTCAGCATCTGAGAATCTCAGATCTCAGTTAAAAGTCAATTATCATCTTGCTTACCGGTGTTAAATGGAA